TTGATTGCTAACCAGAAGGCTGGCAGTTCAAACCCACCAGCCACTCCTTGGAAGGAAGATGGGGCAATCTACTTCCGTAGTGATACTGCCTCAGCAACCCAAGGAGGGTTCGCTATGAGTCAGGGCCAACTCCACGGCACATAACAACAACAACAAAGAACTATTAAGTAGCCACATCATCACACCAGTGATCTAAGATTAGTTGGACCTCTGTGATTTCAACACTGATATCTACCACCTGGTTCTTTTATTTATTTATTAAGTAATTGGGTATATACATTAATCATTATACCTAGTGCTGAGATATCATGGTGAACAATAGCTTGAACCCTTCCTCTCAAGTAGCTTACAACTTAATATAATACTTACACATTTGGACTGACACTGTGACTGCAACCATGGACTCAGACAGCAATGATTGTGAGGATTACACAGGACCATGCAACATTTCATTCTGTTATATAGAAGGTCACTGTGAGTTGGAGCTGACTCAGATGCAGCTAACAGCAACTTAAATCTTAGCATCTGTCTTGTTAGTGCTTGTTTGGGGAGTGGCTAGTTAAGGATACTCACTGCCAGCGAGTTGATTTGACTCAGAGCAATCCCTCCTTGGGTTTCTAAGGCAGTATCGCTATGGAAGTAGATCGCCCAGTCTTCCTTCTGAGGAGTGGCTGGTGAGTTTGAACCACCAGTGTTCTGGTTATTTTTAGCTGGGGATAGTTAATGGAATTAAACATATAAGAGTAACATTAATATACAGAATTTATAGCCTCTTGTAAAATTAATTATTTTCATTTTTTTTCTCAGATGCAGAGCTCTCTTAGGTCCCTTCGAAATAGTGCAGCTAAGAAAAGGGCAAAACTGAGTGGTAGTACTTCTGATCTGGAAAGCCCTGATTCTGCAATTAAGCTCGACTTGACTGTGGACTCCCCATCTCGATCTTCTTCTCCAAACATCAGCTCATACAGTGAAAGTGGAGTTTACAGCCAAGAATCATTGACTTCTTCTCTATCTACAACTCCCCAGGGGAAGAGAATAATGTATTTTATTTTTTTGGCATGTTTGAGGAAAACTTTAAAACCATTTATAGTTTAAAAATTTTTTAAGTACATTTGAAAGAAAAGGAAAAGTTTATAGATACTACCTTGCTTAGTTTGGCATGGTGTTCAGCACAGAAACAACCCCATCTGTAACTAGAGCACCTATATTACTATAAGACTTATCTCCAAAGCACTACTTGTTTCTGCTTACCTAAAATTTATTCTAATATTCTTTCTACCTTAGATCTTTTCTCAATCTTTGACTCTTTTGCTAGTTGACCTATAGCTAATATTCCTGCTTTATTCTAAACTCAGAATTGATTTCTTCCAATTTATGGATAAAATTCACCTAGCCCTTATGCCACTATTTCTTATATCTTATATTTCCATTATTATGTAGAGGCTCAGGAATCCCCGCCACAGCTCTGATAGGTGTCTCGAGTCTCCCTGCAACGTCAGTAGTGCTAGAATTAGAGTCCTGGCCATCCCATGCTGACAGAATTATTTTCTAGCATAGCAATTTCACTGCCTTTTCCAGTTTTTCACTATAATCTCTAAAATTCAGTGATTCCCCCCCCCCCCCCGATTTCTAGGCATGTTTATCACTCAGTGTAGGGATTTGGGGAATCATCTCTCCCTTTATTTTGAACAAAAACCTAGGAGTGAAATTTCTAGGCCGTAGGGTAAATGTATACTTAACTTTTTAAATAACTGCTAAACAGTTTTCTAAGATGATTGTACTATGTTATACTCCCATTGACAATGTTTAAGAGTTTCATTTATGTCACATCCTTGGTGTCAGTTTTTTCTTAAGTTTATTTTCTCTTTATTTTATCCCATACTATGTTTATGGTGGTAATACAGCTACTGAAAGTAAATATTTAAAGTTAGATTAAAGTTATTTTTGCTTAAGTGAACTGGAAATTAACATGTAGGTAATCATAGGAAAAAGGTGTTTGATTTCAGCCTTTCATAGACTTCAACTCTATTTTTTAGTATAATTGTGAATGGTTTGTCTCATCACATGATTTTTTTTTCTATTTTTAATTTAAATAACAGTTTATTTTGCAATGGGTAATTTTTTCTTACCGGGTGTTTCTTTGTCGTAATCACCCAGGTCGAATAATATATTTACTAAATGAATTTGTAATGGCTACATTGGCTGGTGGAATTAAGTTTACATTAAATTAACAGATAATTATCTTTAATTTATTATTTATTTTAGATCTAATGTTCTCCCCCCATCTTCCATGAAGGTGGAATTTTGTAATATAGTCCTACAGTTGTAAGATTTTGTAAATAATGTGGAACCCAATTGGGAGGGGATCTTCATTTTATTTTATAACATTTAAAATTCACTATTTCCTATATTGTCTCATGGAGTTAATCTGTTTGGATGTTGAACCCTGTGAAAAGGAAGTTCAGTAGCCCCTCATTTATAGACTGAATTACCTTTAAGGAATTTCGGGTTTCTAAACCAAAAACCCAAACTCCCTGCCGTCGAGTCAATCCCAACTCATAGCCACCCCTCCTTGGGTTTGCGAGGGGTATGTCTATGGAAGTAGATTGCCTAATCTTCCTTCCAAGGAGTGGCTGGTGGGTTTGAACCACCAGCCTTCTGGTTAGCAGACAAATGCCTTAGGCACTATGCTACCAGAGCTCCCTAGGGTTTCTAAAACATATTTAAGTTTAGTAGGTTTATCATACTGTGAGTGATGCCTTGAAGCTGTGCCACCAGTATATAAGATACCAGCAGGGTCATCCATGGAGGACAGGTTTCAGGGGAGCTTCCAAACTAAGACAGACTGGGAAGAAGAATGGGGCCATACGCTTCTGAAAAAATTGGCAACTGAAAGCTTTATGAATAGCTGTGAAACATTATCTGATACAGTGTCAGAAAATAAGTCCCTGAGGTTGAAAAGCACTCAGAATATGACTGGGGAAGAGCTGCCTTCTCAAAGTAGAGTCCACCTTGATGTGGTAGATAGAGGAAAGCTTTCAGGACCTTCATTTACTGATAAGGCACAACTCAAAATGAGAAGCAACAGCTGCAAACATTCATTAATAATCAGGACATGGAATATATGAAGTTTGAATCTAGGAAGTTGGAAGTTGTAAAAAATGAATTGGAACATATAAAAAGATTTATATCCTAGACATTAGAGACCCGAAATGGATTGGTATTGGCCGTTTTGGATCTGACAAGGATATGGTCTGCTATGCCGAAAATGAAAGATTGAAGAGGAATGGTGTTGCATTCATGGTTAAAAAACATTTCAAGATCTGTCAGTGATATGATAATATCTGTATGCCTACAGGGAAGACTAAAGTGCACTTAACCCAAGCCATGGTATTTTTAATCCCCTCATATGCATGTGAAAGTTGCTCAGTGAATAAAAATGACTGAAGAAGAGTTGATGCCTTTAAATTATGGTATTGGCAAAGAATACCAAAAATATCATGGATTGCCAGAAGAGTGAACAAATCTGTCTTAGAAGAAGTGCAGCCGGAATACTCCTTAGAAACAACAATAGCAAGACTTAATCTCACATACTTTGGTCATGCTGTCAGAAGGGACCAATCCCTGGAGAAGGATATTGTGCTTGGTACAGTAGAGGGTCAGTGAAAGAGGGGAAGACCCTCAGCGAGATGAATTGCACAGTGGCTGCAATGATGGGCTCGAGGACAGCAAAGACTGTAAGGACGACGGCACAGGGCTGGGCAGCGTTTCATTCTTTTGTAAATATAGGGCTGCTATAGGTCAACGTTGAGTTGACGCCACCTAACAACAACAGTTAGTTTCCTTTCATTCGGATGTAACATTTTTCAGTTTGCTTTCATTATGTCAGGAAAGTGCAGCAAAGATAGTTGCAGAAGAAAGCAGCATTTGCTGAACTCACTTGTTGCTGGTCTCTAGGAAACAGGTCTCTATTTTTATGTTACTATAGGAGCTCTGGTAGTGTAGTGCCTAAGGCACTTGACTGCTAACCAGAAGGCTGGTGATTCAAACCCACCAGCCACTCCTCGGAAGGAAGGTTGGGCAATCTACTTCTGTAGACCCCAAGGAGGGGTCACCGAGTTGGGTCCTACTCGACAGCACATAACAACATATGTGAGAGCGGTTATTGTGTTAGATAATTAGGTATCATTTGATTTGGTTTTAAAATAGGTTTTCATAGACCATTTATTTTTGGCCCAACCAAAGATTATACAGTACAAATCGATGAGTTTTCATTTCCTGTGGAAGTCCTCTTATGAATAACTAAGAATTAGCCATATGTTTAAAAAGTTGCAAGTTCAAAGAGAACTTTAAACTAAGAATACCTGTAAAAGAATACTGAGAATACCTATAAAAGATATTTTTAGCCATAGCTTTTCATACTTGTTGCTGCCTTACTATCTCATTATTTTGTGTTATTAAAAAGAGCAGAGAATATGTGATGTGAAAGTGTTAAATAGCTCTGAATCTTAAAAGTTTATTGAAATTACCTTGTTTTGTTGTAGGGCAGACATACTTCCAACATTTGGATCAAAACCTGGCTCCACAAGACTTTCTTCAGCAAAAAATAAGAACTCTCATATAGCTCAACAAAGCCACAGTGCAGGTATTCTGTGACTATTTTGTTTTGTTTTGTTTTTATTTTTGCAGTGTTCCCATTCCTCCCTTCCCACCCTGATAACCAACAAAGAAAATTTCTTTCCATATATAAACCTCTGCTTGACTTTTTACAATAATAAACTAATACAATATTTGTCCTTCTGTGATTGACTTATTTCAGTCAGCATAATGGCCTCCAAGTTGATCCATGTAATATGTTTTGTAGATTCTACATTCTTCTTTTTTTAATGCATTTTATTGAAATATAATTTATGTATAGTGAAATACACAAAACTAAAGTGACATGGGTCAGTGCATTTTGGGGGGGGGGGCAATGTTCCCTCCCCTCCCCTCCTACCCCGGCAACCAACAAAGAAAGCTTCCCTCCATATATAAACCTTTCCTTGACCCTCCACAACAACGAACTAATACTATATTTGTCCTTCTGCAATTGACTTATGTCATTCAGCATAATGTCCTCCAAGTTCATCCATATTATGCGCTGTTTTGCAGACTCTACATTATTCTTTAGCACTCCATAGTATTCCATTATGTGTATGTACCATAGTTTGGTCATCCACTCTCCTACTATAAATCTTAGAGATAAGTCCTGTTTTGGTGACCTATGCCGCTATGACAGGAATATACCACAAATGGGATGGCCTTAACAAACAGGAATTTATTCTCTTACAGTTTGGAGGCTTTGAGTCCAAGTTCAAAGTGCCAGGCTCTAGGGGCTGGGTGAAAGCCCCTCAGCCTTGGGCTTCAGCTCTGCCTCTTGCTCCCAGCCTACTGGAGGTAGAGGCATTTCTTCACTCAGACAGTTGGTGGCTGCTGAGGCTGACAAACCCAAGGTTGACAAATACAAAGGCACATGGTACCCGATGTTACCAAACCACATGGCAGGCCATCAATTTAAGTCCACTGTAAGTCCTGAGGTCGGCAGAGCATGGCAACGGCATGGCTACATGCAGGATCCAAGCGTGCCATAGGCTAGAGACCATTCCCAAGGCTTCTCCTTATATACAGGAAGCATACCACATCCCAAAGACAGCTACTCAGCTGCTTGTGGTAGATCCCACCATGGAGTTGATTGCCAATCTCATCATGGGGAATAACTACCACCAGCTGCCCAACCACTCAACCAGGCCCAGCCAACTTAACACAAAAACATAACCACCACAAGTCCCTTGCCAGATACGTAATTATCAGCAAATAGAATTCGTTGCTGTCATTTTTGTTATGTGCTTTTTTGTAGTGTCGATTTCTTCCATATAATTTTCTATGCTGAGCTCGTTTTGTCTATGATTTGTGTTATCACTTCCTTCATTGCTATTGTTTTAGTATTTGATGAATATTTATACTGGTTCTCTTTTTTGATGTGAAAGTTTATAATTTTTCTTTGAGGTTACCCTGTGATTTATAGTTTTCTTCCCAAGTTTAGAACAGTCCATTCTATCTTGTAGTTGTCTTGACTTCCCTATCATCTAGAAGTTTCTGTAATAACACAGATTTTCCCCTCTTTTTGGTTTGTAGTTGTCCACATTTGTCAGTTGATGTCCCTGATTCCCTGTTTACAATCTTGTAGGCTTATTTACTTTGAATATTTCCATAGCTGGGTTGGTTTCTGGGTTATATCATCATGTGTGTTAATGGTCAGTTGTTGTTGACTGTTGTTTCTCTGTCCAAAGGGCTCCCTTTAGCATCTCTTGTAAGGTTGGTCTGGTTTTCACAAATTCCTTTAATTTCTGCTTATCTGGAAGTGTCCTAATTTCACCATCATATTTGAGGGACAGTTTTGCTGGGTACATAATTCTTGGTTGGAAATTTTTCTCTTTCAGGGTTTTATATATACCGTCCCATTGTCTTCTCGCCTGCATGGTTTCTGCTAAGAAATCCGAGCTTAGTCTTATTGGTTGCCCTTTGTAAGTAACTTTTCATTTTTCCCATGCTGCTCTCATGATTCTTTCTTTATCTTTGGTTTTGGTAAGTTTGATGATGATATGTCTGGGTGATTTTCTTTTGGGGTCTATCCTGTTTGGGGTTCGTTGGACTTCCTGAATGGATATTTATCTTCAGCTGTTTGTGCATTTTGGGTTATGCTTGCCAATCTATTTATGCCATAAATTTGCCCCTATTTTCCTCAATGAACTTTATACCTTTAGGTTTTACATTTAAGTCTTTGATCCATCTGGAGTTAGTTTTTGTGTATGGTGTGCAGTATGGATCTTGTTTTATTTTTCTGAAATGGATATCAGGTTGTGCTATCATTATTTGTTAAAGAGACCATCTCTTCCCCGTTTAATGGATTTGTCAAAAATCAACTGACCATAGGTCGATGGATCTATTTCTGGCTTCTCAATTCTGTTCCACTGGTCTATGTGTCTGTCATTGTACTGATACTAGGCTGTTTTGACTACTGTGACTGTATAGTAGGTTTTGAGATCTGGGGGTTTGAGACCTCCTACTTTGTAGTTCTTCAGTAGTGCTTTGCTTATCTGAGGTCTCTTTCCTTTCCATATAAAGTTAGTGATTGGTTTTTCCATATCCTTAAAAAATATTGATAGGATCTGGGTTACGATTGCATTGAGTGTATAGATTGCTTTGGGTAATAATTGACATTTTCACAATGTTCACTCTTCCTATCCATGAGCATGGTGTGTTCTTCCATTATGTAGATCTCTTATAGTTTCTTAAAATAGTACTTTGTAGTTTTCTTTGATTTGAAAAATGACGAAAGTGTGTTTTCAGATTTAAAATTTTTCAAGTTACTAATAAAGACAAATCATTTTTATAACCCTTTGAAAGACCATTTTGGCAATAATAAAGATTGTATTATTCTTGGAAGAAAAAATATTTACCTGAAAAATTGATCCCCTTTTCATACCATAGGTGTACCCATGTCTCCCTCCCACCTCCAAACAATTAGAATGGAGTGTGATCCAGGCATCAGATTTTCAGAAGCTCCATCACTTACAACATCACTTCTCAGAAAGTACATTTAGTTACTAGTAATCATTTAGCAGAAAAATTTGTTTAGAATATTCAGAAAAATTTAGAATGGGAAATCTGTTTAGAATGGGAATTGCATATCATTCTTCTTAATGTTAGCTTTATCCCTGGGCAAATGCTGCCTTTTATATCTCGTATGGTTGTTTATTCTAATGAGTGCATATATTCTTCATATTATTGCTCACCTTATAGGCCTGTCTATGTTTTGGCTGAGAGTTGAGCCGGGGGGCGGGGGGTGAGTGAGTTTAGTTCCCAGCTTGAAGGATGTCTAAGGGCTATAGTCTCAGGGGTTCTACCAGTCGCTATCAGACCAGTAATCTTGTCATTTTTATGATCTTGAGTTTTATTCCACATTTTTCTCCCACTTTATCCAGGACCTCCTATTATGATCCGTTTCAGATTAGTCAGTAGTGGTAGCTGGACACTATCTAGTTCTTCTTGCATCAAGGTCATGGAGGCTGAGGTACAATTAGTCGTTTGATTTGATTAGTCATTGATTTTTTTTCACTTTTTTTCCCAAAGGGGGAAAGACCAGTAGTTGCACCTTAGATGGCCACTGACAGGCTTTTAAGACCCTAGTCACTACTCACCAAAGTAGGATGTAGAACATTGTGTTTGTGGACTATGTTACACCAGGTGACCTTAGTGTTCCCTGAGACTATTGTCCTGAGTCCCCATACCCAAAGAGTCGTTCCCTTAAGGTATTTGTATGACTAAGAAGTTTTCATAACATTGCCCCCTGTATGCTATACTCTATTAATAGATATATTTGTAGCACATATAAGTACATGTGTAGAAATACCCTCTGTCCATCCTGTATACATTTGTGGGTATAGTCCCATTTACCTTCCCATTAAGCTTGAATGTCTGTGTGTCCATTTATAGATTATTAATGTTATTTGCAGGATTGTGTATGTAATAGTATTTATATTTATTGCCTTTAATTCTTGTGCTTCTCCCAGTGTCTTCCTCTGCTTTGATCATTTTGTTTTGACTACCTTCTTACTGTGTGTATTGTCTTTCTCTTCACCCAACTTAGTATGTATCTACCCTCTAGTTAGTGATTTGCTTTCCCTTCCCCTCCCATCCCTGGTAATCTTCATTCCTTTTTTTAAGGCTGATCATCCTAGTAGATCTGTTTTATAATTTTACAAGTGTTTATGTAAATTTGAAGAGACATCTAGTTGCTAGGTTGTTTTTAGTTTGTAAAAATGGAACCTTCTCTTAGAAGAATATCTTTGGAATGGGAAAAAGAGTGGATTTTGAAAACCTGGATTTGAGTTCCCCTCTGATCCTTGTATGACCTTGTGAGTTACTTAAGTCTTGTTAGGGTGATAGGTCTTATCATAGTACATAATTCTATATGCAGTATTCAGTATTTTCCAAACTTGCCTAATCCTAAGAATCACCTTGGGTGGATGTTAACAAATGTAAATTTTGGGGCCTCATCTTCCTCATACCTCATGAATCAATTTTCAGAATTAGAAATCTGTATTTTAAACAAGTAACAGGTATTTATAGAATCAAGTTTTGGAAACGCTACTATTATTGAATTCACTGTAAGATATTCTTGGTTAAATCTTCAAAATATTAAGTTGCTAATAATGTCGGATTTTATAAATTTGGGTGTATAGTTTTTGTTCATGGGATAGTATTTGTTTTTGTTTTCCCAGTAAGCAAGTGCTTTCTACAGGTTATTTGTGTTTCATTATCAGAACATAAAAATTATAGTGCTTAGAATGAGGATTAACTGAAGAACAAAAACAAAAGTAATAATTATGTAAAATTATAAATGCCGTCTGTCTTTACAATAGCATTTCCAGTACAGATTTCCACATACAGTCCACCATTACCTATTATATCGTGTTGTGCTGATTTTCCTGAATAAGATTATGTTACACTTTTCTTCATATAGCATTAGTGTAGTATCATCTTTAATAGTATTTTTACCCAAAGCCAGTATCTTTATGTAGCTTACTTTATGGATTAACTATCAAAACTAAGAAGAATTCAGAAAGATACTCCTTTACTCTGGAAGTTCTCTATCCATTTACCATCAGATAGTTCTTGAATCTTTTTCTATGAACTGTCTTAATGCCCTGTACAATCCTCTGCAATCATGCTACCACCAGTCTCCTTCTCTCTCACCATCCTGTTTTCTATTAAAATACCCACAGCGTTATTAAAGATGTCTTAATGTTTTACACAGAAACTGTATATAAGTGGAAAGTGACTCAACTGTTTATCTTCTAAGATTTTTCATTTAAATATTTTATGATTTTAACAGCAAGGTATTAATATAGGTGATGTGTTTAAACATGAAAATGTAGATTAAATTCTTTATACTTGTTAAAAGGAGGCTTACATTCAGGGGGTTTTTTTGGTTTTGTTTGGTTTTTAATTAGGATGTAGTAACATTTGGGTATTTATTATGTGCTAGACACTGTGCTAAGCCCTTCACATATATTCTTCTCATTTAATCATCATAACAGTTCTGGAATAATAACTACTATTAACTGCCATTTTATAAATGAGGTAAAGTGCCTTCCCAGGTTCTCTCATCAGTTTAAGTAGCTATGCTATGCCTTAAAATCAGGAATTTAATTCCAGACTCCAAACTCTTAATTAATCACTGTGTAGTTTACAGCCTCACTAGCCAACTCAATATAAAGTCTGCTTGGTGGGGTTGGTGGGGGGAAATGTTGTAGAATATAGGCATCTTTCAAGCCACAAAAAACATGTTCTGGATTTTTTAAATTTTCTTTTTGGTATAAAATTAAGAATTTCACTTATGCATTAAGTGCTTGTCATATTTTTAAAACACATATATCTCTTTCAAACATTGAATTTTGAATTGCATTGTGATTTAAAAACTTATTTTATGAAATATAGAAGGTGGTTGTTGTTGTTATGTGCTGTCGAGTCGGACACGACTCATAGCAACCCCTCCTTGGGTTTCCGAGGCGGTGTGACTACAGAAGTAGATTGCCCAACCTTCCTTCCAAGGAGTGGCTGGTGGGTTTAAACCGCCAGCCTTCTGGTTAGCAGTCAAGTAAGTGCCTTAGGCACTATGCTACCAGAGCTCCCGAAATATAGAATAGCTTATAATAAATATTCTTATGTGTTAGTAAGATAAAAAGGAGTACAGATTTTAAAATAGGTTAACATTTTTTAAATTTGCAACATCATGGTACTGGCCTTTAGAAAGTTAGATGTCCAGATAATCTAGAGATATTTTACTATCATATTATATTACCTAAGTCATCAAAATGAACATTTTTATTTATTTTATAGGAATTATGACATCCAATGTAAGCATAATTGGTCAGCGAATGAACTATGGGTATGGATGTGGTGATTTTGAAGATGATAAATCATATGACATTTCACCTAGTATTCTAAAAATACAAAATAAGGAACACCCACGACATTCTAAGCATACAAAAGGTTAGTAATTTTCATGAAAAGTTGATTTTTAAAAATTGAATGTCTCATGGTTAGAATCACTTTAAAAAAATGAACTGAGAATTACTTACTGGTTTTGAGATGTTTATCTTACCTTTTTGGTGATGTGTTGTTGCTCAAATAATTTTGCCAAATAGGAGAGCTCAAAGGTTCATATATTGGTTTATGGCATTTCCTGAGGAGCCAATCCCAGGATGCAGCTGTCTAGCATGTTAAAACTAAGGAATCCCTGCTACTTCAACCCCCAAGACACTCACACACACACACACACACACACACACAGTTTCTAAGAGATTTACTACTAAAGTTTCTAAGAGTTTACTACTAAAATGAGGTAGAGAAAATCATGTGGGTAAGTGACTCCCAGATGCCTAGTTAGGTTGCATGCAAGGGTATAATTGGCAACAGGAGTATAATTTCCCTGCAGTAGAATGTAAGGAAGCTTCTTTTTCGTCACTAACCTTGTTAACTATTTCCTTCCTTCTTTTCTTCTTTAATTAAGTGGCAAATAACACCACTATGACTGCTCTGATGATACCGCAGAGATTCTGTTACAGCTGCAGGTTTTTTATAAATTGGCATAAGAGTAGAAGTGATTTTTAAGGATGTAAGTATTTAGGTAAATAGAGTAATTTGAAGTCACCTGTATTTAAGCCTTGTAATCTACTAGTACATCGTAAGGAACAGGTTTTTGTTTTTGTTTTCCTTTCTTTCTGTTTAGCAACTGCAATGGCAATAGGGTCAACTAATCACCGTTATTGCTAATCATTCTAGTCACATATGTGCAGGTAATCAGTCATTTTTTAGGACTCTGCGTGTGTGTGTTGTGTGTGTGTATAGGTATGGAAATAACCCAAATTGAATAAGAAGGAACTTGATTGAAAACTTTATCTTGTAAATTTTCTCAAAATTTAATTTAATTTATTCTATTTTATTAAATATAATTTATTTGTGACAGAGATCAGTTGTTCACTGTTTTCACAAAAATAAAGAATTATAGAATTTTTCCATACTTACCTACATATTTTATATCTCAAATAAAGAAAATGAAGGACAAAAAGTGCTTTTCTTCTTGGAGTAACTCATATTCCTCATTTAGTATAATTTTTCATTATCTTTTTAGAATTTGCTTTGAAATACTTGCTGAATATGTTCATTTCCCGCCAGTGACATTGTTTTCATAGACAGCAGAACCCTATCTTTTTAAATTTTTTGACCAATAGCTAATTCTACTCCAGGAAATTACTTTGCATCCACATTTCCAGCTTTATACCACTTATTAAATATTTGGTGAACAGAATTCAACGTGAACAAAAACCACACTTCCCATCCTTTCCAGACCTGTTCCTATTTACTATCCATATTTAATACCTTTACCTTTTCCCTAACTTCAGCATCTTAAAGCTTTAGAATCATCTTTTATGTGCTTCCTCTCACTGTTCACTTCAGACAATGGGCGAACCTACCATTTTTCAGAGTCTAACTTTATATATGTTCCCACAGTTGTAATATGGGATTTTATTAACCCTTCTCTGGATCATTATGAGAGCCTCCTGGTCAAGCACTTTGTCTCTTATTTCATCCCTTTTTAATCCAGGGTACATACTCTTCCATAAGTCTTTCTAAAGTAAAGTCAAAACCTTGAGCAGTTTCCTGTTTCCCATAAAATAAAGTTTCTAATCTGTAGTTTGACTTTTAGGAGCTTTTTAAGAATCTTGACTCTCAAGTAATTTTCTTGCATTACCTGTTACTATTCCTTTTTTCATGTCCTATGCTCCAGCATTCTTAATACTAGAAGTTTATTTAGTTTGCATGTAGAGCCTGCATAGAATGTCCTCTCCCAATCTTAATGGATCTAGATCATGTCAGCTTTTTCAATACTGGCTTAAAAGCCGCTTACTCATAAATCTTTCCTCACTTCCCTATTCTGGAGCAGTCTTTTCTTTCTGCCTTACAGTTAATTATTCATTTGTGTCTCAGATCTTCCATACTAAATTATAAGTTAACTTAATATTAAATATTCTATCCTACTCATTTTTATATCTGGATTATGCTTTGTACATAAAAGTGCTCAAAGAATACACGTTAAATTAATGGATTGCTGATGGGCCAGCAAGAACTAAAAGGGTAGTTTCGGACAAAGCAGGACTTAACCTAGTTCAGCCCAGTTCAGTCATGAGTGACAAAAGAAAAAATTATAATAAAAAATAGACATAGTCCTATTCCCATGAACATTACAGTCTAATAAGAGAGACAGACAACCACGAAAACTGAAATAAAAATTAACCTAGATTAATACAGGGAACTTTGAGATTGACGTAAACTGTTTTGGTTGGAAAGTTAGAGAAGGCTTTCCTTCATAATTAGGCCTTTGTTGTGGACTGTTACATTGTAATTGTTTGCTTGTGTGCCTCTCCTACCTCTAACCTTTAAGTGTGTAAGCTCCTTGAGGGGAGGAATATTTCTTTTTTTCTCTAATGCCTGGCCATAGTAGGTCTTGTAATTGTAAATGTTTATTGAATTAATAGATATGTGCAAATAAATAAACTGTTAAGTCTTTGATGAAATAAAATTTCAGTTTTAAAGGGCTATGTTTTAATATTCTAAAATACTGTTTTGTAAATAAATATTTTAAAATATGAGATCTGTATTTTTTTGTTTTTTGGTTTTTTTTAGGGTTTACAGGGTCATCATCAGATTTACAGCAAATTTCCAGTTTTGACTTGCCATCTACAAATACTTTATCAGAAGACTCAGTGGTAGTTGTTGGAAAAGGTATTTCAAAGTTACTTAGCTTTTTAATTATATGTGCTCTTCACACTTAAGCAATACGTAGGTGTTTAATAGAATTTATTTTTTAAAAATTATTAATTTGAAAGAATCAGAAGTGAATACTTAACTGTACATTTCTTACCTTCTGAAAAAAAATTCAGGTAAATTTATGTCAGTAATATCTAGAGAGATATGGCATGATAGCTATAGGTTAGGTACTGCTAAGATAATTCTAGAATAGCTAAGACAGTGTCAGCATAGTTTAAATTAAGTGGTAGTCCTATTTATAAGCTTAATGAGCAATATAAATAGTATAATTTCTTGTTCCCTGCAGTGTAGTAAATTACTTTGTGTGGCTTTTCTACCCATAAGTCTTTGTAAACTCCAAGGTGAGATTTTCTATGAGCAAGTCAAGAGCTCCTGATTGCTGAAGGTGTCCACCTGGAATATTTCTGTTGGGTGAGGCACAAAACAATGTTCTGGGAGGTGCCCACTCTCTCTCAGGTGCTTAGAGTTCTGATGCTATAATTGGCTAGTTTGACCACCCTGCGGGCTCTAAAGGAGACCTCCTGGAGGCAGAACTCTCTCTGACTGCTGGTTGAGGAAGACGTGCTGCTGAAAGAGACACGGGCTCCTGAGACACGCATTGCTGGCAAAGAGACGCAAGAGACACGCATTGCTGAGTGAGACAGCGAGGGACCAGCACTGCTGGGAAAGAGACTGTGAGAGACTCTTGGCTGAGGGACGGTGGGCTGGGAGAGAGACTGAACGTTCTTCCTGAACTTGAGTTGTAGCCTGGTGCTTCCCTAATAAACCCCATAATCTGTGAGTTCTGTGTGGCCACTGCAGCGAATTATCGAACCCAGGAGAGAGGTGGTGGGTGCTTTGGGAAGAACGGTTGGTGAAAGGGCTGGAGGGAGGCAGCATGTTTGGCCTTGCAGTAATAGGCCTTGGGTTACTGCTGGTAATCCTGCCTTCCTCTTGTGAGATTAGAGGAGGTCAGAACATGTGGCCTCCTTGCCGTTTTTGCATTCCCCATATAAAATGTGAACAAATCAAAATTTAATTCTTAAATTATATATTTCAGGGTGAATAGAGGATGTTTGGGTGACATATTTAACTTGCATTGGCTTTTTAGCTATAGTTTCTTTTTTTAAATTGTAAAACTAGAATGTGGTTACATACTGAGAATATATACCTTTTACTGTCTCTGTTCAATATCATGAATATAATGAGATGCTTGACAAACTTCCCTTTTTAGCTTGGAAGAGTCTCATTAGATTAATTTAAGTTTCTGTTCAGATTGACTTCAATCTACTCTTATAACACTATTTTCTGTTCTTCTTATATCTGCCTTTTCCCTATCCAAACTTATTTATTCACCCTATATACAGACTTCACACTTACTCAACTCTGCTTATAAACATCCTCATCTCACAGGATGTCCTCCTTTCTTTCTTTTCCGCCTATCCAAATCCAACCTATCTTCCAATCTAGCTTCTTGAAGCCATCTTAAACTCAGCCAATGCCATCATTCCTGTGAATTCATTTGATGTTAATCATGAACTGCCATATGATACCCCCTATATTTCTGTCATAATTAATTACTGTCCCAGGAGCTCTAGTAGCATAGTGCCTAAGGCATTTGACTGCTAACCAGAAGATTGGCAGTTCAAACCTATAGCTGTTCCACTGAAGGAAGAAGGGCAGTTGACTTCCATAAAGATATACCACCATGGAAACCCAATGGGGATCGCTATGAGTTGGAATCAACTCAATAGCAGTGAGTTTGTTTTTTTTTTTTATATTACTGTCTTATTAGATTGTTTTTACTTTGTAATGATTATTTAACTTTTCTTTCTCACTAACTGTGTTGTTTAGGAACTCTGATAGTGTAGTGCCTAGGGCACTTGACTGCTAACTGGAAGGCTGGAGGTTCAAACCCACTAGCCACTCCTCAGAAGGAAGGTGGGACAATCTACTTCCATAGTGATACCGCCTCGGAAACCCATGGAAGGGTTGCTGTGAGTTGGGGCTGACTCAACAGCACATAACAACAACAATGGCAACAACTATATTGTTTACTTCTTGAAAGCAAGAGCTTTTGTCATTCAGAGGACCGTCACACAAATACCTAATGACTGTTTGATGGTTGATTGATTTCAGGTGTATTTGGGAGCCCAAATTCAGCACCAGCAACTTGCAGCCAATCAGTGATATCTTCTGTGGAAAATGGAGATACATTTTCTATTAAACAAAGTTTTGAACCACCATCAGGGATTTATGGAAGAGCAGTCCAGCAAAGTATTCCATCATATCTTGATGCTGAAAATGAAAAAGATGTAAGGTTATGTATTAAGTGTTAGGATAAGTTTAAGCCTATAAGATGCCATCATTTTGTATAAATCAAATTTGGTTTGGTGAAAGTTTCATGATCAAAATTTTAAAAATCTTGTTGGTGTAACTAAAATTTTGGTCCTTCATCATTTAAATGATATCTCCTTTCTAATTCTGGTGTTAGAGCATATAGTTCCTGGGTGGAGCAAGTGGTTAAGTATTCAACTGCTAGCCAAAAGGTGAATGGTTTGTACTCACCCAGAGGAGTATTGGAAGAAAGGACTACCAGTCTACTTCTGAAATGGCACAGCTTTGAAAATGCTGTAGAGTACAGTTCTGCTCTGCAACACATGGGGTCACATGAGTCAGAGGCAACTCAACAGCAACTAACAACATACCATAAATACATACACACACTTATACACACATATATATGTACATACATATTCAAGGAGCCCTGGCAGCACAGTGGTTAACCACTCAGCTGACAGTTCAAACCCATCCAGTAGCTCTGTGAGAGAAAGACCCAGTGATCTGTTTCCATACAGATTACAGCCAGGAAATCCTTGTGGGGCAATTCTGCTCTGTCACATCAATCACTATGAGTTGAAATCAACTCGACAGCACACAGGAACATATACTCATTCAGCAGTTTTCTAACACATACTCAAGGAATAACAAACTAATAATCCTCAGACACAGATTTCACTGGATATTAGCACCATGTAATTCTATTATTTGGAGTTCCTGGAATAATGATTAAGAAATGCATATTTGATTTTGTTTAGACATTTAATGTATATACACAGATGTCATTAAGATAAACAAACAAACAAAAAAAAACTTACTAATACTGAGTCAACTCAACTCATAGCAACCCCTCTTTGGGTTTCCGAGATGGTATCTCTATGGAAGTAGATCACCCAATCTTCCTTCCAAGGAGTGGCTGGTGGATTTCAACCACCAGCCTTCTGGTTAGCGGTCAAATGCCTTAAGCACTATGCCACCAGAGCACCATCATTAAGATAGTTATTTTAAATGTGAAACTTCCTGAATAATTTCAGATAACTCAACTTTTTCATGCAGACTAAAGTTTCCATTTCAAAATCTACTTATGACAAGATGAGACAAAAGAGAGAAGAGAAAGAACTTTTTGACATTAAAAATTATGAAAAAAAGGAACAGAAACCCTGGGAACGAATAAAGGATATAGAAATTGAGAAAATGGCTTCTGAAAGTAAGTGGAATTTAATTTTTGGATTAGGAATATAATATGCTAAAGCTAGCAATATGGTTTCACTGCAGCTGAGAAGTACCTAAGAGTAGAATACGTTGGCCTATAACACTAAAATTTGAAAGACCCAATAACTTCTGTTATAATAAATTCTATTTCTCATAAAAAGTTGACTGTTTTTTCCCTTCTAGATCTTACATATTTTTAGAAAGGAGGTAGGGATGTCAAAATAATGAGAGTTCCCCTTTAGAAAACCCTCAAATGAAAGGAGGGGCCATTTTAAATATGTTACCATCTATAGTATTTTCAGGTTTAGGTAAGTCATTCTTTCAAACATAAAGAGTAATATCTAAATTCTTGATAAACTAAAGTAGATTTGTGACCAAAAAAAAAAAAAAAAAACTGAACTATGACTCAGAAGAGCTGGCTTTTTAAGAATTCGTTCTGCTTTAATTAGCTTTGTGACCTGGAAAAACTCATTTAACAACTCTGGTCTCAATTTTCCTGCCCTATAAATATTTAAATTATCTCAAAGGTCTAATATTTATCTCTTAAGATCCCTTCCATTATCCCTGGAAATTTTCCTGGGATAATCCTCAGGCACAGATTTTATTGGATATTAGCACCATGGAGTAATATCCCATTTTTAGGTAAAGTGACTTAGATAGAGTAACTGATACAGTATAGTGAATTACTTGATGTGGCTTTTCTAGCCATAATCTTTGTTACTCCCACCAGATTACTGGGTGGGGCCATGAAAATGAGATGTGTAGAATTCTCATGTTGAGATTAGTTAGTTTTGTCACTCTGCCAGGCTTAAAATGAGCCTTCCTAAAGTCATAGAGGGGATCTCACTGCCATCAAGATAAAAGAGCTAGCTGTAAAGTGGAGTGCATCCTTGGATCTTTGCATTGGATCTCCTTGGCCAAGACAACCTGGCAGAGAGAGAGAGAGAGAGAGAGAGAGAGAGAGACACCCAGCAGAGAGAGACACCCGGCAGAGAGAGACACCCTGCAGAGAGATGGTGGCAGTAGAACCAAGAGGCACATGACAGACCAGCAGGCTTATCTGGCCCATAGAGCAAGAAAGCTGAGTGCCTTTGGGCAGGAGGCTTGCTGACAAAAGTGGGGTGCACCTAGGTATACGTATTGACAGAGCTAAAAGAATTTTGTAACACTTGCCCAGGTAGGGCAGGGGCCAGGCTGAGAGGCCAGAGGCCAGAGAAGTATGTCTGAGTGTACAGCAGAGAGGAGACTGTCCTGATTGAAGAGTTGTATTGTGAATATGTTCCTGAACTTGAATTGTAGCCTGTTACTTCCCTAATAAACCCCATGATTGTGAGTATTGTCTGTGAGTTCTATGTGGCCATTGCAACAAATTATTGAACATAGCAGAGAAGTAGTGAGTGCTGTGGGTGGGACAGTTGGTGTCAGAGTTAGTAAAAAGGATAGAGAGTAGCAGTATGTCTGACCTCTTAGGAATAAGCCTTGGGCTGCTAATGGTGACTCTGTTTCCCCCGAGTGAGATTGGAAGAGGTCAGAAGATGCTACCTCCATGCCCTTTCTGCAACTAGTTTGTGTTAGATCCTAATGAAAAAAAGTTACTGCATTTGTCATTTATTCAACCTATTTTTTTGAGAACCTACTATGATTTTTGCCTGGCCAAGAATAGATTTCATGTTTCCAGTACTACTTTTAAGACATACTGAAAAGATCTCGATACTCACTGCCGTGGAGTCAGAGCCAACTCATAGCAAACCCTCCTTGAGTTTCCGAAGTGGTATCACTACGGAAGTAGATTGTCAACTTTCCTTCCGAGGAGTGGCTGGTGGGTTTGAATTGCCAGCCTTCTGGTTAGCAGTCAAATGCCTCAGGCACTACACTACCAGTGTAACTAGGAAAAATCGGACTGAAATGGAATATTGCATGAACTATAATAAACATTAAATATTAATGTTTATTATAATTATTTTGCTTATTATTATTAAGGAAAAAATTGTGTGAACTATATAATGTTGCTGTTAGGTGCCATCAAGCCGATTCATTGGAGATAAATATAAAACAGATTTGAACCAGATGAATGAGATTCTTATATTTCTTTTATAAAACTAGAAGTATAGCTGTTGTCAGTTAGTTACTGTCGAGGAGAATCCAACTCCTGACAGCTCCACGTGTGCAGAGTAGAAAAGTTCCATAGGGTTTTCAAGGCTGTCATCTTTCAGATGCCAGGCCTGTCTTCTAAGGTGCCTCTGGATTGGTTCAAATTGCCAAACTTTCAGCCAACAGTCTAGCCCTTAACAGGGAATATAAGACTTTTACAAATTCTACATTCCCAAAGCTAATGAATATAGACAGTATGTCTTCCCAGAGGTGTTGGTTTGTAAAATTGGTGGCTGAACATGACACTAGTGTTAAATGTAGAGATTTGTGAAATTTAAACCTCTTTGTTAGTATTCTCACACAATTTGACTATTTATTAATGTCATAAAATCCAGAGGTAGACTTCTTACCTAAGACAGCACATAATAGACATACAAATAGTAACAAATAGTACAAATAGTAACAAGTGGTAAATTTTTAGGTATTTTTGCTAGTGGTGCAGTGGTTGACCACCTGGCTGCTAACCCAGAGGTTGAAGGTTTGAACCCAACCACTCTGTGGGAGGAAGATGTGGCAGTCTGCTTCCATGAAGATTTACAGCCTTGGAAACCCTGTGGGGCAATTCTACTCTGTAATATGATATGAGTCAGTTGACATGATGGGTTTATTATTGATAAAGACATTAACTAATTTTGTGATTTTTATCTATTGGTTTTATAGATTTTGTTTCCAAGAAGAATAAGGCAGGTTCTTTCTTGAGGTCATTCCTGTACTATTTGAATATAAGAATATACTTACAAAATTTTTATATAGATCAACCCAAAATATATATGTTTAGACCTTATTTTTATCTAAAACATATTATCAGAAATAATTTTTAATAGTAAAATTCCAATTGGATATGTCTCCTTAGATATTATATATCTGTTAGACCAGCTACTCAAAGTGTATGGCCCATTGACTGGATGAGCTGTTTATTACTAGTTTGTGATAAAATAAATACAAAAAGTGAGAGTCAGCTTTTAGAACTGTGTTCTAAAATTTTACATTGCCACAGTTTTCTTATATTTTATAATAGTTAAACAAACAAAAACAGCAACCACTCAGTTTGAGCACCACTGCCTTAGATTGATACCCTGCACACCTCCTTTTCCAGGATACATGTTGTATTTGCATTGCTTTATTTTCCTTTTTTCGGGTGAAAACAAAGATAGGCAGGCAGTGATATTTTATAATTGCTATAACCCCAAGATAGTAAATTTGGTGTTGATCTATGTCTCTTTCTAATGAGTTAATGTCTTATTAGAATGAGTTAGAGTGGACAAAGGGAAAAAATCCTTAAAACTGCAGTGTCAGTTTCTTGATCTCTAATGTAGGAATAATAACTATTACATGGGGTTGTTGAGAGAATTAAATGAAATAATGTGTGGTAAATGGAGCACTTAGCATAATGCTAGGAAAGATGTCAGTAAATAATAGTAGCATTTCTTTGTATTTGCTGTTCTTTCAGTGTTGAGATATTTCAAAACTGGAGAGTTGTACTGATACATTATCAGTCTTACATGAGGCCTAATGAGGGTACATCTAAGTCATTAAAAAAATTATATGAGGTCTGTTTGTCACATTTTTTAACTGACATATCTTCTTCCTCATATATAATTTACTCTAATGAAAACTACTACCAATTTAACACTATAATAATACAAAATATCATGATATTAATCTATTTATATATCTTCTCTTGGGTATATGATAAGTTTCTTGAATGCAGAAATTCTGTCTTAGATGTGTTTATATAAAATCACTGGTGATAGTGGACCTAGATCTAAGTCCTGCCTCTGCTACTCATTAGCATTGGGCTTTTGAACAAATTGAAATTCTCAATCTCTATAAAATACACTTATTTTCTCAGCTGCAAGGTAGAAATAATGAGGTATCTGCTCCAGCTTTCTTAAGAGAACCAAATACAAAAAGATTTGTACAGTATTTAGCACAAGGTCTGCCACAAACTGTTTGATAAATATTAGCTAATCATTAATATCTTGTTGCCTTTGGTTTAAATGGTGAGTAGAAGTATCTGTTACTTGTCTACAACATCAAGTGAAATTTCTTACATTTGTGATTTCATGTAGCATTTTCTCACAAATAGCATTGTTGACAAACAGTATCTTTTTTAATGCATTTTATTGATATATAATTTGTGTACAGTGAAATACACAAAACTAAAGTGACATGGGTCAATACTTTTTTTTTTTGCAGTGTTCCTCCCCCCCCACAACCAACAAAGAAATTTTCCTTCCATATATAAACCTTTCCTAGAAGTTTTACAATAATGAACTAATACTATATTTGTCCTTCTGTGATTGACTTATTTCACTCAGCATGTTGTTGTCGTTGTTGTTGTTATATGTCATCGAGTCGGACCCGACTCATAGCGACCCCTCCTTGGGTTTCCGAGGCAGTATCACTACAGAAGTAGATTGCCCCATCTTCTTTCTGAGGAGTGGCTGGTGGGTATCATAATGTCCTCCAAGTTCATCCATGTTATGTGGTGTTTTGCAGACTCTACATTCTTCAGTGCTGTATATCATTCCATTGTGTGTATGTACCATAGTTTGGTCATCCACTTTTCTGTTGATGGGCACATAGGTTGTTTCTATCTTTTTGCTATTGTATATAGTGCTAAGATGAACATGGGTATGCATATATCTCTTGCTGTCCTGGCTGTCACTTCTCTAGGATATATACCTAGTAGTGGGATTGCTAAGTCAAATGGTATTTCCAATTCAGGCTTTCTAAGGAATTACCATGCTGCTTTCCACAGCGGTTGTATCACTTCACAGTCCCACCAGCAGTGTATGAGAGTCCCAGTCTCTCCACATCCCCACCAGCATTTGTTATTTTCTGTCTCGTTGAACCTTGCCATCAATGCAAGGGTGAGATAGTATCTCATTGTTGTTTTGATTTGCATCTTTCTGATGGCCAGTGACCATGAGCATCTCTTCATGTGTTTGCTGGCCACCTGAATATCCTCCTTGGTGAAGTGTCTATTCATATCTTCTGCCCATTTTACAATTGGAATATTAATTCCTTTGCTGTTGAGGCATTGGAGTTTTCCATAAATCTTAGAGATAAATCTCTTGCCAGATATGTAATTATCAACAAGTATGAATTTGCTGAGGTCATTTTGTTATGTGCTCTTCCGTGGTGTTGATTTCGTTCCATATAATTTTCTGTGCTGAGCTCATTTTGTTTATGAATCGTGTTATCACTTCCTTTGTTTTAGTATTTGCTAAATATTTGTGCTAGTCCTCTTTTTAATTTTGATGTGGAGGTTTATCATTTTTCTTTGAGGTTACCCTATGATTTACAGTTTTCTTCCCAAGTATAGAACAGTCCGATTTATCTTATAGTCGTCTTGACTTCCCTACCATCTAGAAGTTCTGTAACTACACAATTTTTTCCCACTTTTTGGTTTGTAGTTGTCTTCATTTGTCAATTGATGTCTCAGGTTCTCTGTTTACAATCTTGTAGGCTTATTTTCTTTGGATACTTCCATATCTGGGTTGGTTTCTGGGTTATGTCATCATGTGTGTTAATGATCAGTTATTGTTTGCTGTTGTTGCTTCTCTGTCCAAAGGACTCCCTTTAGCATCTCTTGTAAGATTGGTGTGGTTTTAACAAATTCCCTTAATTTCTGCTTATCTGGAAATGTCCTAATTACACCATCATATTTGAGGGATAGTTTTACTGAATACATAATTCTTGTTGGAAATTTTTCTCTTTCAGGGTTTTATATATACCATCCCATTGTCTTCTCACCTGCATGGTTTCTGCCAAGAAAGCTGAACTTAGTTTTATTGGTTGCCCCTTGTAGGTAACTTTTTGTTTTTCCCATGCTACTTTCAGGATTCTTTCCTTGTCTTTGGTTTTGGTGAGTGTGATGATATGTCTTGGTGATTTTCTTTGGGGTCTATCCTGTTTGGGGTTTGTTGGACTTCCTGAATGGATATATTCTCATCTTTCATCATAACAGGAAAATTCTTTTCCAACGAATCTTCAACAATTTTCTCGGTGGCTTTATTTGTCTCTTCCTGTTTTGGAATTCCAATTACATGTAGGTTATTCCTTTTGATGGTATCCCACGTGAACCTTAGGCTTTTTTCATTTTGTTTTTATCTTTTTTCTGATTGTTCCCTTTTCCAAGAAATATCAAGTATTTGCCTTTAATCTCACTAATTCTTTTTTCCACTGATTCAGTTCTACTCATTTGCCTGTTCAATATGTTGTCTATTTCTGAAAATTTAGTATTAATCTTCTGGATTTCTGTGTGTAGATTTTGTATCATTTTTAATTTTTAATTTATTTTGTCATTTCATTCTTGTATTATCTTTCAAAATTGTTCTAGGTTTTTCTCTGTGTTTTCCACAATTTTGTCAGTGTTTTCCTTGATCTGTCTCTCAATTCATTGAAGATACCTAAATATAATTCTTTTGAATTCCTTATGAAGGAGTTCCAATGCTGCGTCTTCCTCAGGGATGTTTTGGGTCTGTGTCCTGGTCCCTTGTTTCTCCTGCTTTATCTTACTTCTTTGTGTGGACTGTGATGCTCTGTTGTCTCCAAGGCATTGTGACGTTTTTGTGTTTATATTTAATTGGTGATTGTATGTTGGAGTGACTTGCCCATGATTTTCCATTTCTTTGTTTTGTTTTTATGTTATCTATATAAGCAGTGCTGTGTGCCTCTGTTTGCCAGTTGGCAGCACTTAGTATGGTCACTGTCTGTCCCCTTTCCCGTTGTCAGCCTCCTGTATATCCCTGCCATTCTTGGCAAACAGAGACTATTCTTAGGTACCTGGAATTGTTTTCATTCAGGTTTTTCTACTAGTTGGTGCCTAATCCACTTCTGTGTAGTTTCTTTCAAAGCTCAGGGCTCCGGTATTATCTTCTGTATCTCTGTCAGTTGGTTTCTTTTTTCTTTGTTAAAGAGGGTGTAGAGCTTATCTGCCTATTTCACCATCTTACTGAAAGTCTCACAAAATATTTTAAGGGTAGTCATCTCTAGTGCATAATATTTCCTATCTAAAAATATCTCTTTACATGGAAAAATAACCAAAGATCTTTACTCATTTAGTCATTCTGTTTTGTTGTCTCCTTTTGAACACCTCCACTGCAAGAATCTTGGATTGTGTAATGCTTTCAGGGCACTCAGTAACTATGATTTGTGTACCTAAAATCTAGGGCAGGGCCTTCCATTTGGAAAATTCTTGACAAATGGTTTATTGTGACAGAAATATTGTTCTTATTACTAAACATGGTATTAGGATTTATAATGACCATTAATTCTATACCTATAGAGAAAAACAACTGGAATTCTATATACAAATGCCATGAAGCTTAATTTTCAACTGTCAAATGAAGAGTAAAATAGGCATATATCCATGTTTTTACAAAATGGTATCATTTTGCTTTGTATTGACTTATAGCTTTTAAAGTAAAGCCAGTTTTTGTTCTGTGACTCATGAGTGAAAAAACACTTGCATATTTATAGTAAATGTAGGTTATTAATAATTTTATATATAAAAAGTAAAGTTTCAAATTGCTTAGGTTTCTGGGTAGTAGTTTTATTAGAAACGAATAGTACTAGTTTCTATAAGAGATATTCATCACATGTATAATCAGAATAATATTTCCATTCATGGTTCATTTGTATCATGGTTTTCTGATGCTTTTATAATGTTTTATTTTAGGTGAAGTATCTTCTGGAGCCATTCCACAGTATAAAGAAAGAATGCCATGTGTCACTCATAGTCCAGAAATAATGGATTCTTCAGAACTACAGCCATTTTCCAAACCAGAAATAGCACTGACAGAAGCCCTAAAGCTCTTAGGTGATGAAGATTGGTAAGTTTACCATCTCTAACATCCCCTAACAGAAAACATCCAAGTTTTCCGTAATTTTTTCATTAAAAACCTTAAAACACATTTCCCATTAAAATAGTCTTAAAATGATTGTTTTAGTTCTTAGGCGGTCTGAAAGTGTCTTTTCTTTATTATGTAGCTGAACTCTGGTCCTGAGTTTATATATTATCACTTGTATACCATAAGGATATAGTGTAGCTTTTAATGGATTAAGCAAACCTTTGTGTAGATGATAAATCTCACTATTTCTCAAAGTATTTCTCTGTAAAATATACCCTATTGCAATCCTTGATACTTACCTGCTCCGACCACACCTGCAGGAGCTACCCAGCAGGCTGATAACTCAAGGGAAACAAAAGCACACTGGCAGTGTGTATCCCACTTGCTTCAACTGAAATGTCAATTGGCTGCCGTTCTTCACTTACCTCTTCTGTTCCTTCATTATCTCTGTCCTCACCCTATCCCTTATCATCACTTTTTCTCTCTCTTCAAGATCCTATTTATCCTCAGAAAAATATACAATAATATCTTGTGTTTCTTTAAAATCCTCCCTAAATTGTACATCTTTCTCAAATTTCTTTCCTCCCCATTTTTAGTAGAGCTCCTCAAAAAGGCCCATTCATTGTCTCTTTTCACCTTACATTGTATTCATATTTCATCAGCACGCCTGACAACAAGCACAACTTCACTAAAACTGCAAAGGTCACTGTTTTGCTAAATCTACACTGGTCATTTATTGGCCCCCATCTACTGCAGTATTTGGCACAGTTGACACTTTTTTCTGATACACTTTTCTCTTCATTTTGCCTTAAAAACTTCAGACTCTTCTGGTTCTGTTCCCGCTACACTACTTCTTGATTCCTTCCTTTCTGTTTGCCTTAAAAATTTTGGAGTGTTTCAGGATTGAGTCTGCTGTCATTCTTTGTTTTTCTATCTACATTCATTCTGTAGATTAGGGGCTATCAGTGTTTTTCCACAAAGAGCAAGATAGTAAATACTTTAGGCTTTGTGAGCCCCAATTCTCTTTTGCAACTACTCACTTCTGCCTTTGTAGTGCAGAGGCAGCATTGCTGTTGTTGTTGTTAGATGACAATTGGTCATCACTAACTTGCAATGACCCTATATACAGCAAAACGAAACACTGCCTGGTCCTGCACCATCCTCAAAATGAGCTTGAGTCCATCACTGTAGCCACTTTGTTGATCCATCTCAAGGGTCTTCCCCTTTTTTGCTGACTCTCTACTTTACCAAGCATGATATTCTTCTCCAGGGACTGGCCCTTTCTGACAGCATGACTAAGTAGGTAAGATGAAGTCTGGCCACTCTTGCTTCTAAGGAGCATTCTGGCTGTTCATTCTGGCTGTTTATTCTTCTGGCAGTCCATGGTGTTTTCAGTACTCTCTATCCCAGCACCACAATTCAAAGGCATCGACTCTTCTTCAATCCTCCTTATTCACTTCCAGCTTGTACATGCATATGAGATGATTGAAAACATCATGGTTTGGGTTAGGCACACCTTAGTTTTCAAGGTGACATCATTTTTCCTTAACATTTTAAAGAAGTCTTTTGCAGCAGAGTTGCCCAGTGCAAGACGACTGCTTTACTGCTGCTTTCCTGGGTGTTGATTGTGGATCCAAGTAAAATGAAATCTCTGGTAACGTCAGTCTTTTCTCTATTAATTTTGCTGTTGCTCATTGGTACAGGTGTGAGGATTTTCGTTTTCTTTAACATTGAGATGTAATCTTCATCAGTAAGTGCTTCAAGTCATCTTCGTTTTCAGCAAGTGAGATTGTGTCATCTGCATGTTGCAGGTTGTTAATGAGTCTTCCTCCAATCCTGATGTGGCATTCTTCTTCATATAGTCCAGCTTCTCAGTTTATTTGCTCAGCATACAGGTTGAATAAGTATGCTGAAAGAATACATCCTTCCTCATTTTAAACCATGCAGTATCCCCTTGTTGTGTTCAAACAACAGCCTCTTGGTCTATGTACAGATTCCTAATGAGCACAATTAAGTGTTCTGCAATTCCCATTGTTCACAATGTTACTCATAATTTGTTATGATCCACACAGTCAAATGCCCTTGCATAGCCAATAAAACACAGATAAACACCTTTCTGTATTCTTTGCTTTCAGCCAAGATCCACTGACATCAGCAATAATAACCCTCATTCCACGTCCTCTTCTGAATCCAGCTCACATCTCTGGGGGTTCCCTATCAGTGTATTGCCGCAAACGATTTTGAATGATCTTCAACAAAATTTTACTTGCATGTGATATTAGTGATATTGTTGGATAATTTCCACATTCTTTTGGATCACCTTTCTTTGAAATGGGCACAAATATGGATCTCTTCCAATCGGTTGGCCAGTTAGCTGTCTTCCAAATTTCTTGGCATAAATAAGTAAACACTTCCAGTGCTGCCTCTGCTTGTTGGAACATCCCAGTGGGTATTCCATCAATTCCTGGAGGTATTTTTCACCAATTCCTTCAGTGTAACATTGACGTCTTCCTTCAGTAACATTTGCTGTTGGTCATATGCTGCTTCCTAAAATAGTTGAATGTTGAAATAGTTGAACCAGTTTTTTTGTATTTTGTGTATTCCTTCCATCTTCTTTTGATGCCTCCTGCATAGTTCAGTATTTTGCCTATAGAATCCTTCAGTATTGCAACTCGAGGCCCGAATTTTGCCTTCAGTTCTTTCAGCTTGAGAAATGCCAAGTGTGTTCTTCCCTTTCGGTTTTCTAATTCCAGGTTTTTGCATATTTCATTATAATACTTTGTCTTCTTGAGCCACCTTTTGAAATCTTCTTTTCAGCCCTTTTATCTTGTCTTCCTTCAATTTGCAATGTTCAGAGTCACTTCTGACATCCATTTTATTCTTTTCTTCCTTTCCTGTCTTTTTAATCCCCTTCTGCTTTCTTCATGTATGATTTTTTTTAAATACATTTTATTGAAATATAATTTATGTACAGTGAAATACACAAAACTGAAGTGACATGGGGCAGTGCTTTTTTTTTTTTTTTTGCTGTGTCCCTTCCTCTCTCCTCCCACTCGTGGTGATCAACAAAGAAAATTTCCTTCCATGTATAAACCTTTCGTTGACTTTGTTACACTAATGAACTAATACAATATTTGTCCTTCTGTGATCGACTTATTCCATTCAGCCTAATGTCCTCCAAGTTCATCCATGTTATGTGGTGTTTTATAGATTCTACATTATTCTTTAGTGTTGTATAGTATTCCATTGTGTGTATGTACCACAGTTTGGTTATCCATTCTTCTGTTGATGGGCACCTAGGTTGTTTCCATCTTTTTGCTGTTCTAAATAGTGCTGCGATGAACATGGGTGTGCATATGTCTGTTCTTGTCCTGGCTCTCACTTCTTTGGGATATATACATAGTAATGGAATTGCTGGGTCAAATGGTATTTCTAATTCCAACTTTTTAAGGAATCACCATACTGCTTTCCACAGTGGTTGTATCATTTGACAGCCACCAGCAGTGTATGAGAATCCCAATCTCTCTACATCCTCACCAGCATTTGTTATTTTCTGTCTTGTTGAACTTTGATACTAGTGCTGAGGCAAGATGGTATCTCATTGTTGTTTTGATTTGCATCTCTCTAATGGTTAATGATCATGAGCATTTCTTCATATGTTTGTTGGCTGCCTGAATATCCTCTTTGGTGAAGTGTCTTTTCATATCTTCTTCCCAGTTTTCAATCAGATTATTTGCCTTTTTGTTGTTGAGGTGTTGGAGTTTTCTATAAATTTTAGAGATAAGTCCATTGTCAGATATGTAATTATCGACAAGTATGAATGTGTTGCTATCATTGTGTTATGTGCTTTTTTGTGGTGTTGCTGATTTCTTTCACCCCCAAGATTTTCTGTGCTGAGCTTGTTTTGTCTATGAATCATGTTATCACTTCCTTCATTGCTGTTTTAGTATTTGCCTAATATTTATGCTGGTCTTCTTTTTTATTTTGATGTGAAGGTTTATCATTTTTCTTTGAGTTTACTCTGTGATTTATATTTTTCTCCCTGAGCTTAAAACAGTCCATTCTATCTTGCAACTCTCTTGACTTCCTCACCAGGTAGAAGTTCTGTAACTACACTGTTTTCCCCATCTTTTTGGTTTGTAGTTGTCCTCATTTGCCAATTGATGTCTCTGGTTCCCTGTTCACAATCCTGTAGGCTTGCTTGGGATACTTCCATAATTGGCTGGTTTCTGGATTATTTCATTATGTGTGTTACTGATCGGTTGTTGTTTGCTGTTGTTGCTTCTCCGTCCAAAGGAATCCCTTTAGCATCTCTTGTAAGATTGGTCAGGTTTTAACAAAGTCCCTTAATTTCTGCTTACCTGTAAATGCCCTACTTTCACCATCATATTTGAGGGACAATTTTGCTGGGTATATATATATTTTTCCCTTTCAGGATTTTGTATGCACCATCCCATTGTCTTCTTACTTGCATGGTTTATGCCAAGAAATCCGAGCTTAGTCTTACTGGTTGTCCCTGGTAGGTAACTTTGTTTTTCCCTTGCTGCTTTCACTATTCTTTCTTTGTCTTTAGTTTTGGTGAGTTTGATGATGATCTGTCTTACTGATTTTCTTTTGGGGTCGGTCTATCCTATTTGGGGTTTGTTGGACTTCTTGAATATATATATTCTCATCTTTCATCATACCAGGAAAATTCTCTTGCAACAAATCTTCAACAGTTTTCTCTGTGGTTTTATTTGTCTCTTCCTGTTCTGGAATTCCGATTACATGTAGATTATTCCTTTTGATGGTATCCCACATGAACCTTAGGCTTTTTTCATTTTGTTTTGATCTTTTTTTCTGATTGATCCCTTTCCGAAGAAGTATTCAGCTATTTGTCTTCAGTCTCACTAATTCTGTCTTCCATTGATTCAGTTCTTCTCCTTTTCCTGTTCAATGTGTTATCTATTTCTGAAAATTTAGTATTAATCTTCTGGATTTCT